GTAGCCGCACGCTAGGTCAGAGGTGCCATGCGTTCTGAGTGGTTCGGTCTTAGGCCGGACCCGCGAAAGTGCCTCTTGTGGGCAGCCGCTAAGTGCAGTTTGTAATAGCATTGCCATTAAAAGGGATTTTGTAACTATAGATCCTTGACGGTTTTTTTTTCAAATGGTGTGTAGCAAGCAAATGTGCTCAACGTAGAAAGCCCTGTAGGCTGGTGTCAGAGCCCTGTAGGACGTTGTCAAAAGTCCTGCAGGTTAATCACTAAAGGCGGTCGTGTAAGTCACACACTCGCTAGCCCCAATGAAACTCAAATCTGTTATACATAATGAAGTTTACCAACACAGATCAACTTTCATGCTTAAACTCAAATATCATAAATGAGACCTGAATTCGTCGGTGAATGTTAGACATCCAGGTAATAAGATACGCCATAAACAGTTACTAACGCAACTGGATATGATTTTGGAAACCCGATTTTGAGACCTTAATACTCTAACTTAGAGCGAACCAATGACAACCGTTTAGGTTGAGCTCCTGGCCGAAGTCGTGACTCTTAAAACGACTTCAGTGAAATGCAATCGGAACCGTAAGCACACAGGAGGATGTTTCAATTTGCATCTAAAGATCGTTGACATTTTTTCATATCGTGTAGAGCAAATGTGCTCAACATAGATCTAGAAAGTCCTGTAGGCTGGTGTCAACTTCCTGTAGGATGTTGCCAAACTTCATCACTTAGGCATTCGTGTAAGTGACACATTCATACATTAGCCCCAATGAAACTCAAAGCACGTAAATGAGACCTAAATACGTCGATGAATGTTAGGCATTAAGGTAATAAGATACGCAAAAAAAACAAGTTACTCAAGCAACTGGATATGATTTTGGAAACCTGATTTTAAGACTAACTCCGATTTTGAGACCTTAATACTCTAACTCAGAGGGAACCAATGACAACCGTTCAGGTGGAGATCCTGGCCGGAGTCGTAACTCTTAAAACGACTTCAGTGAAATGCAATCGGAACCGTAAGCACACAGGAGGATGTTTCAATTTTCATCGTAAGAAATTGTATCACTGAACCGGACACTAACCATTACGAAGCGAGAAGAAGCAGAACCTGTATAAATAAGCGAGAAGAAGCAGGGTCTACCATCGCTATTTGTCGTGACCTGTACTTAGTTCGCAATTGAGCAAAAAGGTACAGTAAAGGTCTTTCATTCATTAAAACTGATCATTGATTACAGCTCCACGGGTTCTCTTCAAATCACCACCAACACGAACTCATTCTGGCAGTCACGTTGCATAGCGTTATTTTGCAGAGTCACTGAACCAGTGTAAAATCTAATCTAACTACATCGCTAACAAACGGTACGATGTGTCAAAACAGATTAGCTACAACTAACGTGCACTGATGCATGAACCAGTCCAGGACGAACATACGTGCCAAGCATTAAAGTCCACACAGGAAGACACAATCAGAGATTATTAGCAATCGAGGCCTCTAGAACGTTTTTACTGAAATGAACTCAGTCAATGGGTGCCAGTCTGAATCATGTTAATGTCCTTGTCAGGCGAATATGGCCTGCCAACCTAAGGCAGGAACACAATGCACTGTCATTGAGATGCTGTAACTCTACTATATTGGAAGGAGATGATCACTTGTAGCTAACAAACAGTCGTTGGAATATAAACTCCTAATATTGGATTGGTTGGACTCTCTAATATTCCAATAGGTTCAACATTTAGAACTTCTAGGTTTAAGAGTAGCACATTAACTTTTAGCGTTGAGTTACTGAATGACTTATAATTATTATCATTTTACTGTTTACTGTTGTTATCATGTTCTTGCAATTAGCCCTTGGGCATGAATTTGCAATAAACTTTCTTCCTATAATGCTTCTTTTTAAGGTTTAAACAACTTCTGCAATTAAATGTTCAAAGATTCAGGGTAACAGGTCGTTCGGTGTTATATAGCTAGCTGCCGCCGCGCCGCGTGCCTGTGAAGCTGGGTGACACGCCGAAGGGCAGTTATACCGGCTATACCGATACAGATAATTAATTCTAAGTGTCTTGTAGTGCATTTTAAGTGTCTCAAGCCCCAGTTCAGCCATGTAAGGCAGCCATGGCAAGTTTTTGCAGTGTTTGCAAGTAAACCGGTCATCATCAGTATCATCATCAACATGATAACGTAGCATCACCTCTAAGCATAATCAAGGTTAGACATCCAGGTAAATGATACTCAAAATAGACAGATCTAATTCCACTGCTAGATAAAATGTGGGGATTATCTCCCGACGTTTCGAGTGACTGATTGAATCATCGGTCTTCTTCTGGCGTCACTTGTAGCTAATGGTACGCCCTGAGGAAGGGTTATGGATCACGAGAAGCACTGGCGGTACGCTGAAGAAGAGTGATGGATGCCACTTGAAACGTCGGTATCTAAATCAATCATCTGTTGATGCTGTCAGGACGCTTGTCTAGAATTGTCGATTCTAAGCCTTGTAGAGATCCCAAATGTCAACAGAAAATCGGATCGGAGTCTCTGCTAGACTATATAATTGTTTCGTTGATCCATATTCAGTATCACATATTACAGCATTAAAAGACATTCAGTATCACACATTACAGCATTAAAAGATAATTAGGTGACAAGCACAGAGTGACAGACTATTCAAATGATGCCAGTAGCTACAGAAAGTGTGAATGAATTCATTTTAGGCTATATTAAGTTATGGTGATAGACCTGGACCTCTCTGCCGGTAAAATCACCGATTCTACTATACAAGATCGGAGTGCCTACCCTGACATGTTTGAAGTACTTTGAAATGGGATAGCTAAGGGTAGAAAACATCCCATTATACCACCAAGGGTTACAACACTGAAATACTGTCTATTTGTACTCATCAAGCAGAGGTTGTGGGGGAATGATTGTTAGCTTTTGATATATGACCGTTTTCTTTGTCGCTACCCCGTCGGTGGCCGGTGACCTTCTCTGGCTAATGGATACTGTCTTGCTACCGAAAGGGATCTGCTTGGAGATTATCTATATGATGAATTAATGGGATTGATTTACCAAAGAGAGATTCACGATTTCTCTATATGGTGAATCAATGGGATTGCAGGGGCGCTATCCCATTAATTTACCAGAAAGAGATTCCCTAACACCTGTATTCAGTTTGTGAGCTTGATGGGAACGTTCCATCTTCGGAAACGACGGAAAGGAACATGGAAAATGGAGCACCTAGTTGGTCAATGAAGGGGAAAAAATTTGACTACATGGTTGTGCACTTAGGGTTGCCTCTTCTCAATATCAGTGTTGGCTTCTTTACCTGATTTTACAGTTTTATTCTTAAATGTGCAGAGGCTAGTCACTGGTCCCTTATTGTCAAGAGACAGAAGGCATAGGTCTGTACACCTGGTTTTTTTTCTCCACAACTACGTTGGGCTTGTTACTCCGTGAAGGAGGTCAGGACCTCCGGACGGAGTGTTGTGATCGGCTGATTTTTCATGTTCGCAGTCAAAACACTGGGTTCTCTTTGTGTAATCGGCACGCAATTTTATACGCCGTCTGCGGGCATGCCCGTGTTGATGCACGAATGTGTATTTTTGCCGTTGCTGCTTTCGCGGTCAATGTAATATTGCAGACGCACCCCTACAATTACGAGGCGAATTGGAATGGTCCAGAAAAACTCGTTGTTTGGAATAGCAGTGGGGGGGGGGGAATAGCAGATAAGTGGTTCCAGATGTTTTTGCCCATGCTTAAGAGATGCCAAGTTTTTTGGAAGATGTTCGCAGCCAAAACGCATTCTTCCGTACGTCGCATTTCTGTGTAATTTCGCATGTGGTGTGGCATTATGTCCGGGATGATGCACGTCTTTTTATTTTTACCGTAGCTGTTTTGATATTGAAGTAAATGCATATTTTAGAAACATCCCTACTTTTACAATCCTGTGGAATAGGCCGTAGGTTTAGGCAGTTGTCTGGTAGTAGAGGTACTCATAAGCAGATATCCTGGTTATCTGGCCGGCGGTAGTAACACTCGCGGTGCTTACCGCAACTGTTGCTGGAATTTGGCCTGTTCCGGGCGCGCTTAATTAGGTACAGGCACGGTAAGACGGTGGGCTTGTCTTTGTTACTAGACACGACCATGATACTAGTAGTCCGATCTTTATATGAATGCAATGATTGTGTGTGTGTAATTAAAATGAACTTCGAACTTGAAGCACAGTATCTTTACACGCCCTGGGATTTAGCTCTTTGTATGTTTTATGCTTGTGACGCGCCCTCATTGTATTAACCGTTGCCTAATTATAATGTCTGCACAGTAGGTCTGGCGTTGACGCTTGGGATTTTGTTGAAATATATAAAACTTCACGGAGGATTGTCACCTATGGCTTCTTGTTTATTATTAGGATTTACATATAACGCTGAATTGGAAAATTAAACATGTAGTAACTACCTTTACCATGTTTATTGCAACAAGTTGTTTCCACGATTGAAGGTCTCCCATATATGGAAATAGCCTTCATGCAGCCTCCTTCCAGCTGTGACGTCACGCGTGTAGCCAGTTAGTTCTGGCCCGAGCCGGTTCTTCGCATAAATATTCCCGCGGGACATTCCTGATGAGTTGTCTAACTCTGTTTTTCTGATTTATCAGGCTGTAGGAGTGAGGAGGCGTGTGGCCGACGGACCTGCACGTGGGCTGGCCGCGTGGGGAGGAGGTTTTAAACTCCTGTCAAGACCTGCGCGCTTGTTCACCGGCACCGACTGCCGCGCAGGCCACTGCTAGTTCCCCGCTGTCTTCTAACAAGGCCAGGGCCGGCGTTGGTCATTGGAGTATCCCAAGAGATTCACATATACATGTATGTATATGTATAGCAGCCAGTCGCACCTCACCTAAACGCAGGTGCAATTTCAGTGAGCAAACGTCACTGGTAGTTAGTCAGAGCTAGCCTCGCCAACGTTGTCTACGGGCAGGCTTTGGAGTAGTGTTTCGGCCCCAGATTGTTGGCAGTTCAGGCTTTTGGCAGGAGACCAGAGAGACTCTAAGCACCGCAGAGGTAGCGGACAGCCACGCCGGCGGTCTGTTAACCAGGCTAGTTAGACGGTGTTTTAGACCTCCCCACCTAGTCAATCTCCCACCGTGAAAAACGTACCGGGGAGCCTAGCTGAGGCGGGCGGAAAAGAGCTTCAGCGGCCCCGTAGAAAATCCGCCCCAACCGCGATAGACTGGATACCACAGGCTTTTGGTTGGAGACCGGACAGACTCTTAGCACCGCAGAGAGGCATAACGAAGAGCCACGCCGGTCTGTTTACCAGGCTAGCGCACCTGTCAGAGCTAGCCTGGTCACCATTCTCTACGTACATACGAACAGGCTTTAGAGTGTTAAATTTCGGCCCCAGTTTGTAGACACTGGCCAGGGATTTGGCAGGAGATTGGAGAGACTGTTAGCACCGCAGAGGTAACGGAGAGCCACGCCGACCTGTTAACCAGGCCAGCCCACCTGTGAGGCTAGCCACACCGTCTGGTGAACCTACCTCCCCCCTCCCATGGCGACGACCACGGCGGCGGACCTGTTGGACCAGGCGGCGGGTGGAGGCGCACCCACCGCCGAGACGGACGGAGACGCCTTCGCCTCCAAGCTAACGAGGGAAGCCGACATCATCATCGGCGTGTATCTCATACTCATAGGTAAGCTCTGATATTTTTTTTCTATCCGTAGTTTCATTTTAAAAGGGACCCAGGGCGATTTCATCGCAATGAAACTACTCATGGGTAAGCTGTAGTCGTGTTTGTTTTCTATCCGTAGTTTTATTTCGGCTAAGAACACCAACGGGCCAGGTGTACTTTTTAATCTATTTTGCGTACTGAATCACGCAATTCAGCCTATGGCTGAAACGTGTTTTAATGAATAAATCTTTCAATTCATTCATTTATTTAAAGGGGACCCAAGCGATGTTCAAAGTCAATTTTCTGTATATTTTCTTTTCAATGTAGTAAGTTGAATCAAGCGTATCCGATGGCTTACTGATATTTGTGAGGCAAATATGCGATGTAGCTGATGGAAAACGGTTGCTTGTTTCGTAGCGTTGGCTGATTCTAGCTATTTACTGGTGGTACAAAAATAGTACAGAGACTAGAGCTCTTCACGTAGCTTGTTTTGGGCGCACCAAGTACGAAATGACGACGACAATGTGCTACGAAATGGCATGCAGTAAATGTCAATATCAGACAGATTTCCACATCCAGAATTTTTTGGTTTCTTTTGCTGCCCTGAAATTGCATTGGACGCCTTTAACGGCAGGCAACCATACGACGTCTTTGCTATGCACATTTTTCAGTGGGTGTGAATGAAATGAGTCTGCATATTGTACATGCATTAATTCATCACAATGTTTGTTTTCACCACGTAGGTCAGCACTGGTAAAAGTAGGGCACTTGGGAATAGCAATCAACTTAAAAATTAGCTGATGGAAAGCAATTAAGGTGTAAATAAGCTGCTGGCTAAAATGTGTATTGCTTCTTGTGTAAGTTCACTGTGCTCGAATTTTGCATTGGAAGTTAAACTAGATTTTTTCATCTTGGCCCATTTGTGTGCGCGCTCAAATATTATTAGTCTGACTTTTGCAGTATGGAATGTAACAAAATGGCTTTGCAATACCACCAGTTTTTATTGAATACATACATACATTGAACCATTCGAAAAACGTTTTTTTGATGGGGTTGTTAAGCCTTCGTGTGTGTGTGTGTGTGTGTGTGTGTGTGTGTGTGTGTGTGTGTGTGTGTGTGTGTGTGCGTGTGTGTGTGCGTGTGCGCGCGCCCGTTGTGTGCGTGTGTCAAATGTTTCTTTTTTTCACGTAGAAAGAACCTAACACATGCATTGAGAAAAGTAGGGGTAGCCAAGGACATGTAACCTCCTTTCGGGTAACCCACTGTGCCTGGGGCAAATTCTTTGAGACGTTGCTGGCTCATGCCTTCTTCTACCTAATGACCAATGACCGATATAGCTCTTAAGGACAGACACAAATTTAAGAGCATTGATAACCGTCACCTCAGTGGTATTGGACAGCGCCCTTGTGACAGCTGCTAAGCTGAGACTGACATTGCATAGATGAAAAAAATGTAGGCTGTTGAGTTGAGCTGACTGACGAGGTAGGTCGGAACAAACGTGTTGGCCTAAATCACGACGTCCTTCACAGACAAATGTACTCAACAAGAACAGGTCGCCATTAGACATTATTGTTAGATCCATATCAGAACAGAAGAAACACCAAGCCTTTCATCTTATAGATAACGTCCTTGCCATTTTTCACCAGCAGCAGTTAAGTAGCAAAGGTGTAGAGACAAAATGAGGAGCGGCGTCCACTCAAACTCAATTCATCAAGCTAACGAGCTGCTTTCCACGACGGGCTCGCCATTATGCACCATCAGCAGTTCATTAGCATTCCAAATTTAGACACAAAATTAGATGTGGCTAATGAGGCCTATTCATACATGATGCACCTAGTAGTCTGGAAGCGAGACGACTTTAAGGGCATTATCACTGGATAGCTTTCAACAATGTTTAGAGTGAGATGTTCAAGGGTTAGGTATAACAAGTCGTTCGGTGTAAAGTAGCCAGCTGCAGCTGCCGCCGCACCGCGTGCTTGCGAAGCTGGTGTGTTACGTCGAAGGGCGGTTATACCGGCTATACAGATACAGAAACAGACCGTAATCTCCCCGTATCTCTACTGACCGCCCGTTCAGGTCTATTATCGCAGGTCGGGTTTTTTATGGGGTCGGTTTCATGAACTAGTTCGTCTACAATGGGCCGAGACGGCAATAATTCGACTGACAGCCTGGAAAGATACTCAGTATATCAGGAGAGGTCTGTGTCTTGTAGGACTGGGGCCTGTAAAACACGCCAAATCCGGTGTAACATAGCTAGCTTGTGAAGCTGGGGTGTTACGCCGAAGGGTGGTTATACCGGCTATATACAGATACAGATACAGAATCCGATCTCAGTAGAAAATGGTATTTGGTCAATTTTACTATTCAAGTACCTTCATTACAATATCAACATGAGGTCTTCAAATTTGCAGGTACTTGTTCTGCAATATTGAAAATGTCTCTGCAAAATGCAGACTGTTAATGAATCAACGGATAACCGTAGTGTAGGTAAACACACAGATAACAGCAGGTGTTGTCGGCCGGATTACAGGAAGATATGAGAGCCGTGAGCGGGCAATGATTTCCTGCACGGCAAACTTTCATCGCACCCACATCCCGTGCGCAGAATTCACAGAAAACAAACTTTCATCTTCTGCAGTGAAAGACCACACGGCCTGGGGATTAACAGCCACATCCGGCGTTGAATCCCCTGCATAAACTGTCATTGGTATTCATTCAACTGTGCAGAAAAAGAAGTTCATTTTGTAATAGGTCTCGTGTTCGTTGCACATTATACAGCATGCCTGCCTACTCTCCAGGCGTGTTTTTAGGCTTTTTTATCGGGGTTTCTTTTTTTACACTGGAATTTTCCCCCTCCCCCCCCAACCCAACCTGCCTGCCTAAATGCACAGGTCAGAATCTGACCCCTTGCTCCCCTCCGTCTGGTTTCGCCAGCCCGCTCTGTCAAAGGCCTCCCTTAGGGTAAGCCGGCCTGTGTCTTTTTGTATTAGGGACAAACATACTTATTTCATCGGCGCCCTCAATCTTGATACACGATCTAAACAGACGAACTACTTGTATATATAATGACACCCTCTGACAACACTGTACAACAAAAATTCTGAGTTCGCACACACCTGTTTTGGGAAGAGGAAAGAGACAGATGCAGTGAGTGTGACGTAGTTGTTTTGTGTCCTCCTGTTCAGGAACGCTACAAGTATTGATCCTTTACGTAAACGTTTCACGTGAAGCTACTGCATTTAGGCCACACGGGTACGAACGTGCGAATGAAGATCATCCATATTCATTCATCCATCTGGGTCAGTCAATCCGTGGCCCGAATGTTATTATACACTGGGAAGTAAGTGCGGAAAAAAATTAAGTACGGTACTTGGGTTAACTTTAATGTCGGAGTGGGTAGAAATAACCAGCGTGCACAGTAATGCACGGTAAACCACCCTGATGAAGATGACAGACGGTCATTGAAACGTCGACTCGTGTTCAACAAGTGGTTGTGAATAGAAGAACTTTGCTATTCACAACCACTTACCAACCCCATGGAAGTATTTACGAATACCCAACGTGTCTGCTGCAAACAGACCGCATTCGCATATGTACGCTTGTTGCATGCTTGCTAATCACTCACTCACTCACTCACTCACTCACTCACTCACTCACTCACTCACTCAAGTCCGCATGCTACTAGGAGCGTAGAGCCCCGGCAAACTGTCCTCCAAGCACTTCTGTTCTGCGCCGCTGCCCAGGCTGTAGTTAGGTTGTGGCCTGCTGCTGAATAAAATACCTAGAGCATATATGCCCACCTGGCCGGATAGATAGTCAAAGGATGCATCGTTTTGAGACGATCCGCAGCGAAAGATGTAAATAACTAACGAGACACGCGTCACAAATGTGCAAAATGTGGAAGATATGATCAAAGTAGCTGGGGAGCCCATTTCAAACGTTCCAGATAGACAAGCAGTTGGTAATCTAGGGCCTCGATCACAAGGTTAGGGTTTCGAATCCAGGCCAACTTGTCCCTATCTGCAGCCTCTGTCATCAATTTTCAAGACCTTGCCCCGACTACTGGACAACCAAAGTTGGTATTAGGTTGGGAGCAGTCTGGTCGGTTTTAGGCCACACATATATATCATTCGCGACAACCCTTTGACAACTAGTACACGACTACTGCCAACCGAGCCCTGAATACCTTGTGGGGTGGTTAGATTGATGACGATGACTGGTTTATTGATTTAAAACGTTTCGCAGCCCGGAGGCTGAATTGCATGTTTCATTACATACATCTACGTTGATTGTGGCGTTGTAACTCGGCCGGCATTCAGAAGTGCAAGAACAGTCAAACCTTCAGTAAGTCCAAATAATCTTGATATTTCCTAATCACCAAGCAGATCCTAGGGTGGCAAAACACAGTATCAAATTGGCCAGGCTGCATCCATTTGCCGGAGAGGGTCCAATATGCCACCCAAGTGCGGTCGACTTTCTGCAGATCCCTGTGTGGCGTATTGGACCCTCTGTGGCCAATGGATACTACCTGGCCAATTTGATACTGTCTTGTGCCCCACCCCCCAGGATCTGCTTGGAAATTAGATATTTCCGCCACAAGTAGCGGCTTCTGAGTCATATCTTTTCAACTCTTTTCAACTCCTTTATAGAATCGTTTGCTTCCGGCAATGGACTGCATCAGTTTTACCCAGTATTGGCCCTTGTGTGGACTCCAGCTGATACAACCTGCGTTAGAAGATCTGCTTTGAAAGAACCAATTAAGCTCCATGGCGGATGTTACCACTCCAGATCACAGCAGGCCATTACCTGCTAGCAGCAGCGCCCGGGGCTTATAGTTCATAGACTTGTGATTCATTCTTCTTCCTCTTCCATTTGTTTGCATCTCTGCGGCTTTAAACTATAAAAAAAATGAAGGTTGGTCCACGACTTAGTTATTGCCGCCGCCTCAGGTGACCAATTACGTACCACGTCCGCCTTAGTAGGGGTATATTTCGTGAAATGTCCAGTTTGCATTGTACCCAAAACCAACACTGCGTATCTATGATTTTCTAGCTCAATGATGCACTGTCAGATGTTGCCGAATGTCTGAATGCTTAGCTAATGCTTAACCATGGGTCACAAATGTTTTGGGGTCTATTTTTTTGCCTTCCCTGTGTAGGAGGAGGGTGAAATTCCCAGAACATACTGATCCTACTACGTATACCACCTGCTATGGGATTCATTCTTCCTCCTCTTCCGTTTGCATCTCTGCGGCTTCAAACTAAAAATGAAGGTTGGTCCGCCAGTAATAGCCGCCGCCTCAGGTGCCCAATTACGCACCACACGTCCGCCTGCATAAATCTCTTGTGAGTGAACGTAAATAACGAGCAACAACGCCGTATGCAAAAACACCAAACTTTCTCTCATGTCCCTGGACAGATACGTGTTTTTCCTTTTTCTTTCAACTTCTACCCGTATGAAGTAGTGGTGCCGGAAGTTGTTTTTTTTTCTCTCGTCCGGCACTATGTGGTCTTTGATATAGTTTATGCCACAACAGAACCACAGCCGCCAAGTCGTACCTATACAGGGTGCTGTATATAGATAATACAATTGTTGGGCTCCGCAGGACAAGGGTTAGCAAAGATATAAGCTTGTTCTATACGGAACCTAGTTGCCATCCCAGGCGGCAGCTGATTACGCACTATTACCGGTGCTGATGTCTGGAGGCCATGTGCTATATGCAGCCGGGGAGCCAGCATGTCCCTGGCCTGTATTCACACCGGTGTACGCGTGCGATGTCCACTGATGCACGTACGCAAAAACTGAGACACAGTACTGTTTCCACTGCTTGAGCAGAAAAAAACTTTCCTCGTTATTCTCTGCTGTTAGGAGTAAATTTATGTCCGTATTCACTCAACCGCACTCATATCATGATTTTTTATGACTTATGTTGTACAGCCTCGTGGGCTATGTAAAAGTCGTGGTCGTATTTTTGAAGCAAACTATTCAGCTGTAGAACGCTGAAGATTGATTTAACTCCATCCCAGTATCCTCTGTTTGTTCCACAGATGTAGCAACCTATCCTTGGTACTGAAACACTTAGAAACGACTTAGTAGCGGTATATTTCGTGAAAGGTCCAGTTTGTCATTGTACCCAAACCAGCACCACGTATCTATGAGCTTCAATAAGTGTTTCCAAAAACAATGGCGAAAACATGAACCAGGCAATGAGGGACAGAGAAATTAGGAGTCCAAATAAATAAGCAAAAATGGTATTTGTAACCATGGCAAATGTTTGTATCTTACCGCTTGCTGCAGGTACCGGTTCCACGCTGGGAAACGGGCGGGTGCCGTGGCTGTCCTACCGGAACTAGAAGAAGCTGCAGCCGGTGGTGGTGCTTAATTATGGGTCACAATTTCTTAACCTTCCCCGTGTAGGAGGAGGCTGAAATTCACAGGACATGCTGATCCTTCCACGTACTATGGGAAAACAAAAATAAATTTTAAAAAACACCAATAAGTGTTTCCAAAAACGATGGCGGCAACATGAACCAGGCAATGGGGGCAGAGAAATCAGGACTCCACATACATACTAGTAAGCAAGCAAATAAGCAGAAATGGTAATAGTACCATGGCAAATGTTTGTATCTTACCGCTTGCTGCAGGTACCGGATCGACGCTGGGAAACGGGCGGGTGCTGTGCATGTGGCTGTCCTACCGGAACTGGAAGAAGCTGCAGCCGGTGGTGGTGCTTTTTTTACCTTTCCCTTGTGTAGGAGAAGGGTCAAACTGCCAGGGCACACTGATCCTGCCACGTACTATGGGAAAACAAAAATAAAACGAAAAATAAACACCAATATTTTTCAAAAAACGTTCCAGCTTCCAAGAACGGTGTCGACAACATGAACCAGGAAATATGAGGGACAAAAACAGGACCCTACATAAGCAAGCAAGTTACTAGTCGCAAAAACGGTATTTCCAACCAACTGTTTGCATAAACCTTACCGCTTGCTACAGGTACGGGGTCCACGCTGGGTAACGGGCGGGTGCTGTGGCTGTCCTACCGGAACTGGAAGAAGCTGCGGCCGGTGGAGCTGCTGGTGGCGAGCCTGGCGGTTACCGATGTCGGCATCTCGCTGTTCGGCTACCCGTTCGCCGCCACCTCCAGTCTGCTGGGCCGCTGGTCATTCGGCACCGCAGGGTGCACCTGGTGAGGGCCAACAGTAGTGGTTAGATATTTGCCGGGGAGTGAGTTCTTTACGCCGGCAAAGTCACTCGGCGGCAAAACCGTCCCTCCGCGGCACAAGTCGCGACGCTCCCCAGTAAAAAATTAGCGCCGCCGCCCCACAAGTCTGCAAAGTAGGCTAGGTTTTCCCAACGTTATGATATAGTTCTTCGTTTTCCTTATTATGTTTACCTTCGCAGAAGAAAAACATATTGTTTTTGCTCTGTTTCTTCTTCTTCTTCTCCAAACAAATAAGGTCAATGACCTGACATCTGTCACCATGGTAACTGGTGTTGGGTTACATCATGTTGCAATTTTATAGCAGGACTGATTTGGACTCCTGGCACCATATATATGAATGTGTTTGAGACAAAGTTGAACATGTACAGTTATCAAAGTACACACAAACTGTCTATTCAAACTGGTGGAGTCCAAGGCAGGTACATGAATATAATATCTCATTGCCCTTTACTTTACCGTTGTTCTCTTACGTTGCTGAAGTGTCCATTAATTAATGCAATTGTTTTAATTCTGTTTCAGGTACGGCTTCACAGGGTTTTTCTTCGGCATCACCAGTATCGCCACCATGGCGCTCATGAGCCTTCTGCGCTTCATGATTGTCTACAAGGGATATCCGGGTAAAGACAGTCTTCATGCTTTTGTGTATGTGTGTGTGTGTATGTGTGTGTGTGTATGTGTGTGTCTGTGTGTGTGTGTGTGTGTGTGTGTGTGTCTGTGTGTGTGTGTCTGTGTGTGTATGTGCGCGTGTGTGTGTCTGTGTGTGTATGTGCGCGTGTGTGTGTCTGTGTGTGTGTTTGTGTGTATTCGTGCGTGTATGTGCGTGCGCGTTTGTGTTTTTATTTGCATGTCTGTGTAGAGCAGAGGGATGCATAACCCTTTCACCTACAGCCATTTTTGTTGACTATAGCATCTGTCCGTGGTGCTGAAAGACGCGTGTTGTGTTATCTGGCCCTTTCTTCTTGACCTCAATGAAAATCTTCTCATGAATAGACAAAGGTTGAAAAAACAGATGTGTGTGTGAACCAGAAAACTTTACTTGTTCCCATCCGCAGGTTCGTACCCGTCCCGTCGGAAAACCGGCATCATTGTCGCCGCGGGCTGGCTGTACGGGCTGTTCTGGGCATGTCTACCGCTGGCAGGTACGTTCTACCGATTAATGCCATCTCTTCTAACAATTCGGTGGGAACCAAATGCTGAAAATGTCGCATTTTAACCATAAAAGGGACCGCCAGCATTCCAATCCACTCTGCTGGAACCATGGTTCTGAAATTCAATACCTTACGTGTTCTATGGAACCGGGTTCTGAAAACTGATACTTCCTCAAGGCGCCTAATATCGCTTTTCAGTTCTGACTTTTGGAAATGAGTGAGGGTAGGAAACATCTTATCGATGCGGGCAATTTAATTTCCAGTGTTGGGGATAGAATTCGAAACTAAGACTAGAACATATGGGCTACATCTGGTTCTGATTAAGACCAATAAAGTATCTCTGGCCACGCGGCCAGAGCCAGTTTGGAGCGAGTTGTCAATACTTCTGTATCTCGGCTCTCTACACTTGGTGGCGGTGGTGGGATAATTAGTTTCTTCATCTATTTCTCGGACTCCTTTCCTACAGGCTGGAGCCAGTACCACGTGGAGCCGTTCGGCCTGTCCTGCACGGTGGACTGGGGCAGCTTCAGCCGGGACGCCAACGGGATGTCCTTCATCCTCTGCATGATCATCTTCTGCACGGCCGTCCCTGTCGCCGCCATGGTGGCGTCCTACGCCGCCATCTTCTACATCTACAGGTAGTTCTAGTAGTAGAATGGTTTATTTAGAAGATTCAAACTCAAACATATATACACAATACACTCTGACAACAGACTCGCAGGCAACCTTACTGGATGCGCCTGAATTGCTCTGTGGTCAACACAAAATATCGTTAAAATATGCTGTTATTGTTACAACATTCTACAGGAGGGCCAAGAAGGGCGTGGACAGACATCTGAAGAACAACGCCGTCATGAGCCAGAAACGGAGAGAGGTGGAGAGATCGATCACGCTGGTGCGTAGTCGTTTGTTCTTTGATTACTGATGATGATGGTCAACTAAAATACTAGAAGTGCATCCATCCATGTGATCTTGTGTCAGTGTCAAATTGCGCCACTTAGCGGAATTAGAATATAGGGCAAATGCATGCTGAACGCTGATGGATTTTCATATTTCCATGTCGTTTGAAAGGGACGTCATGCAACATTAGGACAATGTATAAAGTACAATCTCCTGTCATTCCTTTACGTAGCAAATTCTATCAGTTCTAGGCCTGTGGCATTGCCTAACAGTATTCAGGGACATCGTTGCACCTTTAAACCCGAAAGACTACATTTAGCTTCTGAAAATGCAGTAGTAGGCATCCTTCCATCTCGAGATATGATGGTAGCACACTAGGTCTGATGTTCTGATGTTGTGGCTGTGTGTAGCGCGCGAAATGCAAGCAGCCTAAAGAGTGCAAATTTCGAAGTAGTAGAAGTAGATGCTATACTTTGTACCCTGTACAACTGCTGTGTACTAAAGTTACCTGTTATCTCGTGTCTGTCGGCAGATGGCGCTGGCTGTGTGTGGCGGATTCCTGTTCGCCTGGATGCCCTATGCTGTGGTCGGGATGTGGTCAGCCGTCGCTGGGGCAGATGCAGTACCAATCGCTCTCGCTAGTGCGGCGCCCCTGTTCGCCAAGAGCAGCAGTCTGTGGAACCCGATCATCTACTTGGGAATGAGCGATCGCTTCAGGTTAGGATCATCATCGTGGCAGAAATACTTTTATTTTCCTTGTTCATTGATATATTGCAGAATGTCAACAAATCTGAAATTCGTCAAAACTTTCTGCAAATCCTAAGGACATGAATCCATGGCGTACACAAATTTGCATGTTGGCACATGCAGAATTATTAATATATCATGGAGTCCGCAGTAAACAAAAAAGCTCTTAAACAATATTATGCCGGCATCGTTGAACCCTACCCGGATTTTTGTCAGTCTGCCAAATTTCAGGTTGCCTAATTTTTCTTCTGCAGTATTGAAAATGACTCGGGTGGGTATCTCTCACACTGGAGGTGTTCATTAGGGATTCAGGGTTCATTATGTTATCCTGTAATCATCAATCACATTCACTAATCTTAAACATTCTTTCGAAACGAATAGATTCTTTTATGGTCTTTTCATGGCCCCTCGGCAGACCTAATGTAATCTATTCGATCTTACGGCTCGTTAATATGTTAGACATTATTCTTTGTCGACTGCCTTCCACGGGTGCCGTCAAGTTTGTTAACGACGCTTGGGTGCGACGTGACTGTGTGTTTTACACGTCCGTAAAAATGCCACATTAAACCATCAATGATTCCCGTCCACTTATCCCTATCCACTCCTAGGAATTCCCAAATCTGATTTTAATTTGTTTTTTGTTAATTTGTTTGCCTTTGTCAGCATTGTAATTGAATGTCAAGAATTTAAAGCCATGGCCCTCACTACAGACGATATTGTTGGCTGTGGTCTGGATCGCTCTAGATTTTTACGGAAAAGCGAACCGCTCCACTTCAACTGCCACATCATTAATTCAACAATGATTCCCGTCGACTTATCCATGTCCACGTTGCTGTTCCAGGTTGAACATGTGTGGCTGCTTCGTCACGCCGACTCAGTCCCAGACGGCGGTGCACGCGCATCCGCAGCAGCCCGGAGCCCCCCTCCCCCTCAGTCCCCGGGGCCCGCTGGTGAGTAACCTCCCCACGGCGGTGGGACCTCTGCCGGGCGGACTCCAGGCAACCAACATCCAGTAGACGTCACGAAACATCCGGGTTCTACCCCCGAAAGGTCATAGAACATCGGGGTTCTATTCCGGAAAGGTCATAGAACATTTGGGTTCTAACCCCGGAAGGTCATAGAACATTAGAGTCCTACCCTATAAAGGTCATGGAACATTCGGGTTCTATTTCGAAAGGTCTTGGAACATCCGGGTTCTACCCCTGAAAGGTCATAGAACATCCAAGTTCTGCTCCGAAAGGTCATAGAACATTTGGGTTCAACCCCGATAAGGTCATAGAACATTTGGGTTCAACCCCGAAAAGGTCATAGAACATTTGGGTTCAACCCCGAAAAGGTCATAGAACATTTGGGTTCTACTCCGAAAGGTCACAGAACATTCGAACTATAGAACTTTTGGGTTCTGCCTTGAAACGTCATAGAAGACGTCATAGAAGATTGGGTGTTCTTCAATGAAGGGAAAGTTTTCCTAGCATAATATAAGGATGGGTCTGCGTGCATTGCTCTAGACGCCCAATATTCAGGTTATATATCAATGATGTAGATATGGTCCTCCATATATCGCCTGAAAAAAATGGGGGCAGGGGCATTGTAACATCAGGCCTTGCAATTTTCTTTGTGCCAATTTTTTAATCAATCAAGCTGCGAAAGCACAGATCAATGTGTGCCAAAGTGTAAAAAGAAAAGCTAAGGGTACAAGAGATTCGTACGCAATGGATCCAAAGTCATGTATTACAGTAATGTACAGTAACCATAAGGCACCAGTATCGGCGCAGGCGCCTAGGGTGCAATAGGTGGATGTAGTCAGGAAAAGTTCAAGATAAAAAATTGTAAGCGACGCGGATGGTACAGAAAATATACTTTCTGATTTTAATGAAAAAAAGAACCTGTGCATTGTGTTCAAATTTTAGGTGTTAAGTCATCCCTTTTGTAAATTGTTCTGAACGTCAATATATGTAATATGTGTAGAGAATCTGTATCTGTATAGCCGGTATAACTGCGCTTCGGCGTAACACACCAGATATGGTGGGAAGCATTTTGGGTATAGTTTGTATGTTCTATTATAATTTTTAAATTATATCTAAAAATATAATATAATATATCAATTGTAACCCTACAGAATGGGTGTCAGAAATCTTTCTTATAGGATTGTATTTTTGTAAAAAAAACCAAGTCTTGTCCAATACGTAGACCATTTAAGATATGAGCTGAAGTGTACAGATAATATTAATATGTAGAGAGCGATCAATGTCGCAGATCGACGAGTCCCATTGTAAGGATGATGTTCTTGTTTGAAGGTATGACTTTTGTAACTGTCAGTAGTTTTTCGAAACCTGTCAGAAGTTCTTTGATCTACGCCTACCTCACCAAACAAGGCACGAGTGTGTCTGGCCTTATACAAGTGTACACGGCCTTGGTTAACAATTGATTGTGATTTATGTACATTTACGGAGACTCAAATTACGCAACATTTCTGACGCAATGTACCCACGGATCTATGTTGTTTGTTTTGTACAAATCTGATATGGCATGTACACGGTTGTTTCTTATTGTAAGTTACATTATATGTTAATTTGTGATGTTAATAGTGATAAAGGTAATAAAATCATTACGAAAGAATACGCCGCCTAGAGTGTCATTTTTTGGGTCGTAGATAAGTGCCTGGCGTCTAAGCACAGATGAAGTTGGCTCTGGTTCGGTATGTAAGTATGGAAGGTAAATCGCTGCCAATCAAAGATATTGAGAAGCTGCTGTGTTTAAAAAAATCTGTCAGAATTTGTATCTTTTCAGGAGGCTGACCTTCGCGAAGTGTTCAAGTCTTCTGCAGGTCGTAGTCCTTAACGAGAGGTCAAGGCAATCCGGTCACCATCATCAGCGCTACCAAAGGTTTACAAAGCATCATCTAGAATTACTCATGACAGTGACAGAGCTTGATGGTATGAATGCGTGTGCTTAGGCATTGTACATGTCAGGAGAGTTGAACGGCATTAGATCGTTAAAGCTACTCAGGACAGGGATGGAAATATTTCTCTCTGCATACTGCATACACTGGTGCAGGGAACATCGAAAATGTACCAGACAAGATTTACCTACACCTCTCTGCCTTTAGTAAGAATGGATCATAGGGAAATTTTTTAAGAGGCCATTGCAGTCATTTCTTTTAAACGTCATAGATGGTAACAGTCAATGAAGCAAAGAAAAGTCCACATTCACATAAGTGTATATATAAACCCAGTAAATGGACCGGTGTAGGTTAGGTGCAGGTAGACATGAGAAATACCCGCATAGCTCCAATTTTACCTGCACTAACCTGCATGTACCCAGTACATAGACCAGTACAGGTTAAGTACAAATGTAGACATCAGAAATACCTGCACAGCTCCAATTTTACCTGCACTAACCTGCATATACCCAGTACATGGACCAGTATAGGTAAGGTACAAATGTAGACATCAGAAATACCTGCACAGCCCCATATTTATACGCACTAGCATGCCTAAGCATGTGGTATATTTCTAGCCCTGTCGGGGGCATCCACCTGAATCTTAAGTCATCAATCTCTAGGGCCAACAAGCGAACATCGCCGTCTTGTAGGCGACGAGAGTGACTAGATTCTGCCCAATGCCTCCGTAATGACTGTTGTAGGGACAGACGCCTGGAATCCACCGTCTTGTCTGACGAGACTCAAACTAACGAACATCATAAAAACCTGTCACGGCACTCCACGATGACATGCCCCCCGTGATGCCTACTCTCAAAGAAGTACTCTCTGAGAAGCCTAGTAGTGCCATGGCTACATTTTGAAACCTTGCCAGGCTGGGTGCGTGTACGAAAAACAAACAATGCATATCAAGAATATACGAAAATGGTGTGGATTAATTTTTTCGTACTTTTTTTTGTGTGTGTGTGTTTTTGTTTTTTTTTTTGTCTTTTATACCCGAAGCTATGTATTAGTCTTCACCTGAATCGAGTGAGGAATTATGTGCATTTCCCAAGGCAAGAGCACAACATTGGGTCCTGCTAGGGATTCGAACCCAGAACCACAAGTTCGGTCAAACTTACACATGAACATTAACAGGCTTTTAGGTCATCGACGTGGTCATGTATATGTCTAAACTAGTATCTGGTTCAGCCCCAACGACCTCAACGTGCTCATCCCCACCACTAGACAGCCAAAGACAGCTCCATCTCCGACACACACCTGCACGTTCCTTACTGCAAAACAATGTACTCGTATAGGACGTACAAGAAAAACGTAAAAGTCTTTATTAGAACAGCTTTGTTCTGTACACCTCGCCGCGGCTCTGAAATAGTCTCCCGACGGAGGTGAGGGAAGTTGTCTCCTAATCTCCAAGCAGAGTCTGTGGGGCACGGGGAGTCTATATTGGCCACCTGTATTCAATTGGCCTTCTGAAACCGCTGGCCGCCTTCGTGTAACCATAGTGGGACAGCCAATATGTACAGGATGCCGATGGATACAGACGGTTAACATAGACTCCTCGTGCCCCACATAATCTGCTTTGAGATTAGATGCCTCCTACACCCATCCACCCACAAGCGCGCCAGCCTTTCTCCTGACCACCTCCACACATGCAGGAGGGACCGGGCGGGGTGCGCAAGGGAGTTAGTAACCTACATAGCTAGAACATTTCATTGTCTGTCGTTTCATTTCAAGCGCCGACGAGGGAGGTCCCATTGTCTGGGATATCCTTTGCTTCTCCCTCGTTACAGTTTTTCAGCACGACGTCACTTTCGTCCTTACCTTTCATGTCCCGTAACAACCTCAATGAAAGGCGGATAGATCTAGAGCATTTTATTGATAAACAAAGGTTCAAACAAAGAAAAAAGATGAGTCATTTTACAAACGCCATCATTTCCAATCATGCATGTACTAGTAACCTCAATGAAAGACGGACAGAGCATTTCATGAATGAACAAAGGTTTGAACAAACAAAGAAAAAAGATGAGTCATTTTACAAACGCCATGCGTGACTCACGACCATGGCAGAAAGACTGAAGGCTGCTTTTATCTTCGTATCCGGGGCATAATTCATCTGTCGCTGCAACTCTAGATGTGGACTTTTTGTCGTCTAAAACGAGAAGACACGACGGCCATCTTTCTATGTATACTTCCGTGGCCTTTTTTTGTCATTTGTATGTTCATGTCAGTTACCTTGACCCTTCTTGGGATCCAGTATATGGACAGAATCATAAAAGAAACATAAAAGTCCAATGCGTCGAAACAAAATCACAGTCCAATACTCAAGGTCCTAGCCGTTCCATAGTCAAAATTTGGAGTGATTTTAGTGTGATTCTTGTCGAGCAGTCAACATACGCTCCTCCACACAGAAGTCTCATAATCCTTGTTTTGTCAGCTCATAGCTCAAACTTTACAGATGTGGGAACGTTTAAAAGCCAAACGCATCCAAACGACGTACCCAAAGCCTCACAGACACGGTGCGTGTAGTGTATATACCGTCCTGTAGTTGGTTACGATTATCACAAAGCTCAAACAGAACTACCCAAAGCTGTGCTGTTCTCCGACGCCATCTTGGCCTTCTGAGTCCGAGTCGGACTTCCACATACTCTAGCGTGATTCTTGTCGAGCAGTCAACTGACGATTCTCTACACAGAAGCCTCATAATCCTTGTTTTGTCAGCCCACAGCTCAAACTTTACAGATGTGGCAAGTTTTATCGTCGCAGAGACACTTTACAAAGAGCTCCAGCTTTATCGGAAAGCCCCACGTGATACCACAAGAAAATCGACAATCGAAAATCACAAACAAACGGCCGATCCATACGTTATCTGGTGCTAACACCTTTGTGCCGGCTGTTTGGAAGGTTTAGTCCGTTCAACAAGGTGATGGAGCTCTATCCTGCCTTTATTGTTGAAAACAACTCGCATGAATCTACAGAGGCCGCATAACTCATACGCGGCGTGTGTTGTTAGCTTCAGAGGTGTTCGCATTGAGAGAAAAGCCAAAGGTGAAGCATACCTAGCTTATGAAGTGATGATAAACTGAAGCATGACGGTCGTTGACAAAGCATCAAAACGTTTTGCCAGGACTTGGCAGGCGACAAGGTTTCACTCGCAGCTGCAAGTGCTGAACTGCCATCCATTGGGCACATGTCTGGGGATAACGTGCATCGTCACTGCGTGCCATAAATGTTGCCTTTATTACGCGGTAATAGCCATTC